CCATTTCATCTTGTGGACATAATATTTTGCCAAAATTACAATAAGTTTAATTAAATATATTTCATCAGTTGAAATGTTTGAATTGTTGAAAATGAGGAAAATTTGCATTTTTGATAAAAAAAATTTTCTAATTTTTGCTGTAAGGAAACATTGCACATCTAACCAAAATAATCCAACATGAGGACAATCTACAAACAAGTGTTCAACACTTTCTCCTTCATTTAAACAAAAAGAGCAGTTGTTACTGACACTAGGAAGGAAACGACAACTATTATCTTTAACTGGATAAAATCTGTGTGCAATTTTGAATAAGAATTCTTTGATCTTATTATTAAGTATATATTCATGAGGTAATAAAAAAATTCCATTCCATATTTTTTTATTAAATAATCCCATCTATGTTTACATGTGGGGACAGATAAAAATCATCTAACTGATCTCTGATAAATCCTTTTGTAAATTTCTTATGCATGATGCTGGTTCAATCATGAAAGTACAATTAATCAAGATGTATGTTTTGTGCTAAAGAATTTAAACTATGAGGAATAGATTTAAGATTATATAGGCACATGTTCTGTACATAAAGAAATCATCACTTCCTTGTCTTAAATCTTCTTCAGTGATAGAGCTTGTTGATGTTTCAAACTGTTAAACACTGCCACCAACTGTTCAGGAGGATTATTACACCCTGAAGGCTGTTTCACTGTGGAAGGGGGGCGTACAGCAGGGTGGCCAAAGATTTGTCTGTGGTGGCCACCCCATTGGTCACCCCCTGGCTCCGCCCCCTCCCCTCCACACCAGCTCTCAACTGCTCCACTCTCACTCAGACTCACACATCCTTCCTTGGTCGTCTCATGTTTGTATGAGCAGATGACCTCAGATTACTGATCCACTGTCTGCCTGTCTGTTAGCTGAGGGGGGGGGGGGGGGGGTGGAGCTGAGGGGAACAGAAGAGGAAGAAAGAGGAAAAACAAAAAAGAAAGCTGCAGATTGTCAGTCCTCCAGACCTCCTAAAACATAAGATAGATCCAAGTTCACCTTAAACTGAGTTAACAAGAGCTCTGATTCACAGCTGAAAAATGCCTGACTGTGTGTGTGTGTGTGTGTGTGTGTGTGTCTGTGTGTGTGTGTGTGTGTCTGTGTCTGTCTGTGTGTGTGTGTGTGTGTCTGTCTGTCTGTCTGTCTGTCTGTCTGTCTGTCTGTCTGTCTGTCTGTCTGTCAACAAACAAAATCATTTAGAATAAACAAATAATCAAAAATAATTTGTTCAGTTGATTAATGTAAATAAAAATAGTAGGTATCACTTTACAACAAGACTCCCCTTATAGATGCTTATAAGTAGTTTATAGACATGTTATTAATTCACCTGCAAACACTTTATAAATCATTTCTAGTGTTTATTATACATTAATTAAGGACAAGAAAGAAATAAAACTGTAATTTATTACTAAATAGTGATCCAAATCTGTTCATGTACTTTCTACTGTACCACTGTATTATACACAAGTATCAAAGGCAGCCTTATTGTAAAGTGTAAGACAGTACACTACTTATTAATGACTAATAAACATATTTAAATGCCATAAAGGAGTCTTACTGTGCTTCCTTTAGATGTAACATGTACATGAACAGATTTGGCTCACTATTTGGCAATAAAACAGGCAGTTTTCTCTCTCATCCTTAATTAATGCTTAATAAACACTTATTAATGATGTATAAAGTGTTTGCAGATAAATAAATTAATAACATATTTATAAACTCTAAGGGGAGCCTATTGTAAAGTGGTAACAAATAGTCATTAATTGCCACCATGAACTTCCTATGAAAGTCTGCTGGATGGTTAAGAACACTGTGAACCTATAAAGCTCTATCAGGCACAATGAAGAGTTCAGGCCCTGCTGCGTTTTGTCCGTTCATTGAAATGACAACTGCCAGGTTCTGAATCCTGGTTCACAGGAACAGTCTCTGGAAACTTGTTTTTTAATTGGGGTGAATAAACAACAAAAACACGTTTACATGGATCCACTGAGGTAGTACACAGGCAGGGCTGTCAGAGGAGACATGGTGAACATTTGTACGCTTGCCTTAAAACTTTTGTACTTTAATCCAAATTGTCTTATGTGCTGAGTGAGGGTGTGTTTGGTGAACATGCACACAGCTTTAAACTCAAGATGTGATAAATCAACAGAGACTGTAAACATCCACCAGGTGCCTGTTCACACCTAAAACAATCTTCCAGATGCTCATTTTCTGAAGCTCTGTAATCACTTGGTCATCTAAGTAGAGTGTGGTAGTGAAACTTAAACCAAGTTTGTATTTTTACAAATTCTGTCTGAATCATCCTGAACATCTGTTCTAAATCTTAGCCCAAACAAAAAAATGTGGAATCATCTGCAAACAAGACACATTTAAACAACCCTGACACATTTACCAGATCATTTACATATAAAAGAAACAACTTTGGTCCAAGCACAGAGCCTTGTGGAACTCCACATGTAATGTCACCAAATTTAGATCTTACATAATTTATTTGAACAAATTGTTTCCTGTTTGTCAAAATACTAACAGCTTCTCATTTCAGTCCTTTTTGGATTAAACACCGATGTCACCTGCACAGGTAAGCTGAAAAACAACTCACGTTGTTTTGTTCACGTTGTTTGGTCTGTGTGTTAAGACGTAACTTATTACGATCAGTATGTGTGAGCGACTGAAATAATCGTATCAGCTGTCCTCTCTGTAGTCGCTCCGGTTCTTTCAAAAACATATTTTCTGGTCCGACAGTAAGGTTCATATGTATCCTGAGATGCAATATTCCAAAACTGATCGTGTATAATGTTGCTGCCTTTTTAATCATCAAAACAACAGAGCATGCTATAACGCTCCAGGTTGTAAACAGCAGGGCTGTGATGACGTGCTGAAATGGGCGTGACGGAATCCCAAGGAGGTTTTTAAAGAGACAGAGGCCAGTTTCAAGGTGTTTAATGAATGAGAAGTCAAGTTTATTATTGATTTAAGCATAAAACAGCATTTTAAGAACAGCTGAAGGTGACATAGTTACTTTATTATGGTGTAGAATTTCAATATATACCTGAGAAACATAATATTGTCCCTTTTAAAGTAAATCAGATCAGATCACATCTCTGGAAAACTACAACAGGTTTCCCTCCAGAATATGCCAGTATTTTGCTCAGTGCATCTGTCTTTTGTCTCTGACCAGTTTCCAAGTGCCTGCTGATAAAAAACATCCAATGCAGCATGATGTTTCCACCTCCTGGCTTCACTGTGGAGATGTGTTCTCAGCATGATAAGGAATGATAGAATGGTCTTTGGTTGTGATGTGAACATGTTCTTTGAATGGCTAGAACTTTCTGTTTAACCTTCACCTTCTTCCACAAACTCAGTCGCTAGTGTCTGTTCTTTATTTAAATAATGGTTGTGTCTCCAAAATTATTGATATACACTCATATACACCTTGATATACACCTTGCCAGTACCATGTTGGACCCCCTTTTGCCTTCAGAACTGCCTTAAGCCTTCGTGGCATATATTCATCAAGGTACTGGAAACATTCCTCAGAGAGTCTGGTCCATGTTGACATGATAACATCACACAGTTGCTGCAGATTTGTCAGCTGCACATCCATGATGTGAATCTCCTGTTCCTCCACATCCCACCAAAGGTCTCTACTGGATTGAGATCTGGTGACTGTGGAGCCATTCCAGTACAGTGAACTCATTGTTGTGTTCAAGAAACCAGTCWGAGATGATTCATGCTTTATGACATGGAGTGTTATCCTGCTGGGAGTAGTCATCAGAAGATGGTACACTGTGGTCATAAAGGGATGGACATGGTCAGAAGATGGTACACTGTGGTCATAAAGGGATGGACATGGTCAGAAGATGGTACACTG